TCTTTTTGAGACAGGGTCTCCCTGTAACCCCAGCTGTCCTGGAACTCACTATGTAGAACAGGCTGGCCTTGAACTCACAGAGATCTGCCTGCCTCTGCCTTCTGAATGCTGGGATTAAAGGTGTGCGCCACCACACCCAGCTCATATTTTATGTTAAAGTAGCAGTGAAAACCAGGCCCACACTTTTATTCCTAGCACCTGGGAAGCAGAGGCAGGGGGATCTCTGTGAGTCAAAGGTCAGCCTGGCCTACATAGTGATACCCTGTCTCAAGAAAAGGAAACAAATAACAATGAACCAAACTTAAAGCCTGGGTGGCCTTGCATGGGGTCTTACTGCTCTTTCAGACAATTTTCTGAACTCCCCAACAAGACTTCATTTACAGTAAGGGCACCCAATCTTCCTGCATCTCTCTGAGCTCGCCCTTATCTATTGTGATGCTGTCAGGTGCTCCTCAGGGCCCACCCTGAGATCTCATTGAGATTCCTTAGCAACCATTGCAAGATAATAGCTTGAAAACCCACCAAAATCCTACACATGACTGTTGTAAAGACAGGGTAGTGTGATTCTTCTTTAAGAGGCCCATACTCAAAGTCTAGATGTGTTTTACTCTCCAACCCTCCTTCTAGGAGTCTTTTTCTTAAACCTAGTGCTTAAGATCTCTGTTAAAAATGTCTTTTACTGAGCTACAGAAATGGCTCAGTGGTTAAAGAGTATGTACTACTCTTTCAGAGGATCCAACTTCACTTCCCAACACCCACATCAGGTAGCTCACAACTGCTGATAACTCCAGTTCCAGGGAATCAGACACCCTCTCTGGCCCCTGTGGGCACCTGTGCTTGTATGTGCACATACCCACACACAGACACGTACATACACAGAATTAAAAACAAAGTCGGGGGATTAGTAAGGCGTGTGGGTGGACATGGAAAGAAAAGGGTAGGTGATAGTTCTCATGTATGAAATACTAAAAAAAATATAAAGGATATCTTTTAATAAACTTGGGCTGAGGGAATGGATCAGTGGGTAATAGTGTTTGCTGTGAAAGCAAGAAGACCCAAGTTCAAATACTCAGCACCTACATAAAAGCTGGGCATTGGTAGCATATGCCTGTAATCCCAGTTTGGGAAGCAGAGACAGATGGATCCTGGTAGCTTGCCAAGGTTGTCAAGGGCAACTTCAGGTTCACTGAGAGACCCTACCTCAAAAAAAATAAGGTAGAGAATGATAGAAGACACCCAGTGTCCTTTGTGTGTGTGTGCATGTGTGTGGTCATGTATACCCACACACATAAACAAAAGTTTTAAATAGGGATTGGAGAAATAACTCAGAAGTTAAGAGCACTGGCTGCTTTGCTGAGGACCCAGGTTCAGTTCTCAGCACGCACATGGCAGCTAAGAGCCGTCTATAACTCGAGTTCCAGGGACTCTAACACCCTGCCCTCTTCTGGCCTCCGGAGGCAATGCATACATGCTGTACTTCCATACATGCATGCAAAACACTCAAACACATAAAATAAAAATAAATAAAAGTAAACTCAAAGTCTGCTGCATAGCAGTTCATCCTGAAATTCTCTTGGCACTGAAGCCAAGTCCTGTTTTATCTGAGTGAAGCTCCCCTGTGGGGGCTGTGTAGACCTCTCCCAGGTGGCTACATAGGCCTATGCTGGGGTTACAGGAGGGGAAAGCAAGCAGGAAACAGGTGTCCTGTGGGCGACCCCCACTTTGGGTGATTAATGCTGGTCCCATCCCTCACCCCCTCCCTTTCTCACGGTGGCTCACACTGTCCCTCTCTCCCCCAGGCCTCCGACTCCGACTATGAGGATGCCCTGCCCAAACACTCCTTCGTTAACCACTACATGAGCGACCCCACCTACTACAACTCTTGGAAGCGGCGGCCCCCCACCTCTGCCCCACACAGGTACGAGGCGGTGGCTGGGGCTGAGTCAGGCCAGCAACTACACACCGTCATCACCACACAGAGTGCAGGCGGAATCTACACACCAGCCGGCCCTGGAACCCGGGCCCCTCTCACCGGCTTCTCTTCCTTTGTGTGACATCATGCCCCCAACAGGGTAGACCGGTGCAGAACTTCCGGAGTCTATTTTTGTTAAGACAATCAACTCCGATAACTGACCTGAAATTTTTCTTTAAAAAAAATAATAATAATTCTGATAAGCGATGATGTTACCTACTTGGTGAAAACTAGATTTCACTTAGGAAGGTTTTTTTAATGGCTTTTTGTAACATTGCTGCAGGAAGCAAGCTTGTTTGGTTTCTTTTCTTTTTAAGAGAAGGTCTCTCCCTGGTGCAATAGCTTGGCACCGCAGGCCAGGGGCTCTCTTGACATACCCTAGGCCCGGGATGTCGCTGGTCTGTAAACCAACTGAGGAGGAGACAGTGGGACAGGAGTAGGTAAAGCGTGTCTGAGGGCCACTTGTCTCTCTACCTCCCTTGTAGACCCAGCCAGCCTGGATCACATTCTCCATCTTAGGACAACCCTGAGCTCCTTGCTCGCCTGAGAGTTAAAGAGTTCATCTTTTGCTTTGAGCTCTGAGCAGTTCTCAACAGGGTCCAGGCAAGGTTCAACATTACTGTTAGGATGGATGTCCGGGAGGGCGACTGTGCAAGTGACCTGTGGCCGGGAGAGCTCAGCTTTGTAGCTGTTTTAGTGTAGGGGAAGCCTCTGAGACTCCCCTTTCCTCCCTTCTTTCAAACTGACAGTTCCAAGAACAGGAAGTCCCGCCCCCCAGGGCCCAGGGCCAGCCAGGTCCTTCCCCCAATGCATACACAGCACACAGCCCATCCCCGCTGAGCGAGAGAGCAGCGGAGTTGCATTTTCTTTTCTTTTTTTCTTTTTTGCAGAGTTGTTTGTCGGGTAGCAGATGTGCATTGTTGAACCAGAGTATTTTTTAAACCTTTTTATCTTTTTTTAAACTGTGTCACATGAAATGAATGCGGCTTGGCTGTCTCCAGGTGCCTTTTTATTAACTGTTCAGCTTTGTACGTGGGAAAGCCGAGAAGCAACCGTGTGTGTCTCCAAATAAAACACAAAAAGCAACCCAGGCCCTGAGTTACCCAGTGCACCCCACACCCGTGCACATGCACTCTCCGGCTGCTGTCCCTTGCTTCTGACACCCCTCCCCCCATCCAAGGCCAGCTTTTTTAGCCTTAACAGGTTTTCTGGAAACATTTTTCTTTATCGCTGTTCCTACGTTTTGGGCTAAAATGCAACGGCGCAGACTCCTTTAGAAAGCGTGGCATTCAGACCCCAGCCTTGCCTCCAGCAGTCCCAGAATTTTTGTGGAAGATTGCTGAGATGCCCACACTCAACCACCAGCCCAGGCCCCAAGTCTGCATGTGACCAGATGGTGCCAGTCACATGTGCCCCAGGGGTGGGGAAACGCTCCACATCCATGTGAGGAAGACAGAACAGTACATCCCTGTGTACCCCCCACAGTGCTCAGGGATGAGACAGGTCTGTCCTCCTGGGGAGCTTGTGCCCTGAGGCGGACTAGCTGGCCAGTGCCACCCTAAGGTGGGCTTATTTTCCTTCACCTTCTCTGTGGGACAGGAGTGCGGGTACAATCTTAAAGTTGCTGTCGTGACCCCAGGACACAGGAGTGGTTGTGTTCGAGGGTGATTTCTTCTTTTTTTAAGGCAAGCCCTTTTCAGTTTTTCCAAAACAGAGAATATAAAAAGGTTTCCTCTCCCCCTCCCTCTTTCCTCCTCTTCTTCCTCTCCCATTCTTTCCTCCTGCGCCCCTTCTATCCCTCTCCCCCTTCTTCCTTCCTTTCCTCCTGCCCTTCCTTTTTGTCTTACCCACATTTCCTTCTTCCTCCTTCCTCTCCCGCTCTCCCTCCTCCTGCTCTCCCTCCTCCCACTCTCCCTTCCCCCTTTACTCCCTGTCCCATTGTGCCCCCCACCCCTACCCCACCCCCTTTTTTCCTTTCTGAGCTGAAGGGGAAATATTCTAAACCAAAAATCCTAGATGCTCTGCCCAAAGGCACTTGTGTGTGAGAACCCACCACCCTGGGTCCACAGGAGGGGCTGCCTCAGGGCATGGTGCCACTGCCTTCTTACCCCAAAGGGGGATAAATCAGACAGAACACCTGTTACCACTCTAACTTCTTGGAAGATGCCACCTGACAGTAGACCGGGACCATGCTGGCTCATTGTGCTTTGCTTTCTTAAGCCATAAATAAGGATTGTGATTGCATGGATCAGTAGGAATCCTTGGGAATACTCTGGTCTGAAGTGTGACTCTGGCCTTGGGTTTTTATGACAATGATTGAGCAGTTTGGGGGTAAGTTGCCTGGGTCCCCTCTATGATCAATAATTTGTTCACTATGAAATGGTCTTTTCAGGGTGCTCTGGCCCCATGAGTGCTGATGGGCAGCTGTCAGAGGCTGCCATCAAGCCTGTCACTTAGAGGGACTCTGTCTCATGAAGCCCCTTACACCAAAAGCATAGAACCAGGGGATTCTAGTTAGATTTCAGCCTCCCAGAGCTATCAGGACTGGCAAATGTTCACCCTAATGTCTCACCTGAGGGATGGGACCAACACATCACACAAATGCAAAACAGATGTTGGATCCAAATCTGGGTTATCAAAAGGACAAACAGAGGCTGAACCAGACAGGACGCAGATGCCCCTCTGCAGTCTCCTGTCATGTTGCAAGTTGCCTCCATGGGTGCCTGGTGATGAGCGCCAGCTGGGTCTACAACCTTGCATGATTTTGTGGAGATGGTGCCTAGCCCTGAACTGCCTTCCTCTCCCTGAGACTGCGGCTCTGGGTACCCGCACCGCAGTCATCAGCCAAGCCTCAGGCATGGCCCTGCACCCGGTGTCTCTCCCCTAGTCACAGGGTACAGGTGTCCAAGGGAGAATGCAGCAGATAGGCTGACATCCCCCCAGCCTCTGGCTCCTCCACCCCCTCAATAAACCAGCTCAGATCGGTCCTCCTGCTGGTCTTCTCTCCAGCATCTCTGCTCCCTCCTGCAGAAAACATGTGTTGGAGCCAGGGGGCCTCGGAGGGGACCAGAGAGCAGCCACTGCCTTTATAAAGCATGCACGCAGCCCATGAGGATGGTGTACATTCTAGAAAGTTCTTTGGATGTGGTGATTGAACTTGGTTGTGATTGGCCTGAGCATGGTGTGTTTGCACAACAGTTCTTAGCATGGATTTTCCTTGTCCCGGTTCCTGGCTCACAGCACAGCTGTTCTCCCTCTGAGCCATCAGTCCCTCTACTGGATGGGCCCCTCTCCCACTCACTTCCCTGCAGCAGGGGACCAACCTGAGAGGCCAGAATAGTGTGGCGTTCCCAGCAGAGCTGTCTGCACTGCACCTCCTCCAGCCTCACCTGCTGGCACAGGGGGAGCTTAGGGCAGTCCTGAAGCTTTCCCTATGGAACCTTTGAGAATTGAGCAGAAAACCAGATCTTGTTTAAAATAAAAATGAAAAACCCCACAAATTATAGGAAGGCAGAGCGGTGCTATAGGTACAATTTTTAATAAAAATATTATTTTGTTCCCTAAGTGCTTGTGAGTTTTTAAATTCAATTTTTAAATTTTTATGTGCATGTATGTATACGTGTTTATGTGTATTCTGGTGCACATGTATGTGCAAGTGTGTGTGGGGTCCAGAGGACATCAGGTGCTTCCCACCTTGTTTTTTGAGACAGGGTTAGCAAGCCCCAGAGATCCTCCTGTTTCTGCCTCCCCAGTGCTGGGCCGTATGTCAACATGCTTGATTTTGATGTGGGTTCAGGGAATCAAACTCAGGTCCTTGCATTTGCAAAGTCAGCACTTTGTCTACTGAGCCATCTCCTCAGCAAGCAAGCGCATGTGTGCGTGCGTGCGTGTGTGTGTGTGTGTGTGTGTGTGTGTGCATGTGTGTGTGTGTGTGTGTATGTGTGACTCAAATGTGTAGAGGTCAAGAGGACAACCTTTAGGTGTCAGTCTTCACCTTTATACTTCAACACAGGGTTTCCTCATCAACTCTGTGTGCTAAGCTAGCTAAATGTTCCTGTCTCTGCCTCCCGTTTCCTGGAGGGGCCCTGGGATCATGGGTACTCTCACTTCTCTGTCCAGCTTTTATGTGGGTTCTGGGGGTGTGAACTCAGGCACTCAGGCAAACACTTTATGCACTGAGCCTTCTTCCCAGACTCCATTGCCTCTCATCTGAAAGGAATAAAATAGATGGTTTATTCTAAAGCCAAATATGACTGACCATGACTCATGTCCTAGTTTGCGTTCTGTTGCTATGATAAACACCCTGACCAAAAGCGATATGGGGAGGAGAGGGTTTATTTCATTTTACAGTACAGTCTATAAGGGACTATATATATAGTCTATAAGGGAGGGAAGCCAAGGCAGGAGCCTGGAGGCAGGAACTGAAGCAGAGACCCTGGAGGAATGCTGCTTACTGGCTTGCTCCCCTGGCTTGCTCAGACACCTTTCTTTTTTTTTTCAATTTTATTTATTATTTTTATTTTATGTGTATGCATGTATTGCCTGCATGTAGGTAAGTGCACCGTGTCATGCAATGCCCGGGGAGGTCAGAAGAGGCTGTTGGTCCCTAGGACCGGAGTTAAAGTTTTTAGCTGCCATGTGGGTGCTGGGATTCGAACCTGGGTGTTCTGCAAGAACAACCAGTATTCTTAACCACTGAGCCATCTCTCCAGCCCCTCAGATATCTTTCTTATACAGCCCAGGCCCACCTGCCTAGAGATGGCACCACTCACAGTCAGCTGGGCCCTCCATCAATTAGCAATTAAGAAAATGTTCCGAAGACAGAGCCCCAGGCCAATCTGATTGAGGAAGTCCTTCAATTGAGGATCCCTCTTCCCAATTCACTCTATTTGTGCCAAGTTGACAGAGACTAACCAGCACAGCTCAAGAACACAGATTTAGGTTCCCCCAAATACCATGTTCCAATGAGTTAGCAGCTTTATGAACTTTTTATAGTAACAAAATAAAGGCATTCATAAAATAACCCATTTTTCAAATACATCGATGTAGGCATGTTATAGCGAAGTGGGGAAACACTGCTATAGGCCTAGATACTGTCAGAATTCCTAGTCCTTTGGAAACTAGGAGTCTGTTCCTACATTCCAAAGGATTTTACCTATGGTCACAAAAGATGTTAGGTCATGTAGAAAGGAGGGCAGTAAAAGTCACCTGAAGCTGCCTCAAGATGGTTTGGCTCTGGATTTGTAACAATTCAACCCCTGCACATCACTGAAGTTCTTTCTAATCAGTCACCTTTTGCAGACACAGTTTTTTTCCAGGAACTCTCCTTGACACCTGGCAGTGGGAATCTCTCCCATTTGGAAGGCAGAGGGAGACCGTCCCATGGGGAACACCTTGCCTAAGGGGCAGGTGACAGCTGGAGCCTACACCCTGAATCACCCTGAATGGATCAGAAGCCATTTCCAAAGCCAGAACAACCCAGTACCCTAGCTGTACCCATTCAAGACCTCACAGGTACCTTAAAGGAAGAAGCACTACCCATGAGAAAACTTAGCTAGGTTTCTGATTAGTGGGGAGCTTGGACAGGGCAAACTGCCCCACCCCTGAGGCATCTAGCCTCTCAAAGACAGCCTCTGAGAGCTCAGAGTGGACTCGGGGCTCAGAGCGGAGGGAAAGAACAAAACCAGTTTCTAACCATGGGCTTGTGAGAGTCACTGTGAGACAAGAGAGGGCTCTATACATCCGTTACCCACTGACCCAACCTTGGGACACAGTTCTCCGCTCTCATTCTTTACAGCATCAAGGAGCAATTAAAATCCCAAAGGCCAGGCCATGCCCATGCCAACTGCGACACTGGGACTGGGGAGACATGAACAAATGTCTATTCATCCCAGCTAGGGAACTGACAAGAGACAAAAGTCAAGATAGCACCAAAGTCCAACTTGGTGAACCAGTGAGTTTATTGGGGTCACTTACAGGAGTATGCATGAGAAGTTACTTCCAGGAGCAGAAATGATCCAAAGATATCTGCATCATCAGAGTCCACCCCAGCACAGGTGACAGCCCCTGAAAGCTGGAAACCTAGAGTGCACTACACAATTTGCAGGCAGCACAGCAGGTTGTTCTCACAGCTTATATGACATTGGGGAGGAAGGGGCCGTGTGCATCTGTCAGGTTCAGGGGACCTCCTGTGACTTGTGAGTTGTATACCCCCTGAGTCTTAAGGGGCCTCCCTTTAGAACTGCCTCAGCCTAACTAGCTTCCCTCCAGAGTGGCATGTTTAACCATGAAGGAAATAGCTGTGCAACGGAACCTAGTCAGACCCTCTGGGGATTGCACCCAGACATTGGTTTGTTTGGAAAGCCCCCCCCCCCAAGTGATCCCAAGGGAGCCATATGTTCATAAAAGGTGGTCAATTTCCAGCTGCAGGAAGAGAGTCATAGGAGAAGGGGAGCCCAGGGTTTCGACTGCCCAACTTTGCATTTTCCTTGAAAAACCATCACCACAGATAACTAAGGTAAAAAGTTTTCATTTCAGTCCCTCCCTAGCCTACTGGGACCTCAGCATCATCCACCTATACTCCAACCCCCAGTAGTAATAT